GTCACCTTTAAGGCATATTTCAGCCCACCTACCTGATGAGTGTTTTTTTTTTTTTTTTTTTTTTTTGGTAAGGTGTTCCGGAACCAGCGGTTGATTAATTTACCTTTCTTAAAAGTCTTGTTGATGTTGATCTGACCAGTCACAAAGTTTTTGTCGTTCTCGACGTAAGGGAAGACACGGCCCTGATTGATCCAGTAGTAGTCATGGGAACCGAAGAAAAAGACGGGGAAGTCACCAATATCGTGACGAAGGCTCTGGATGTTCGATGGCACCAAGCGAGGGTTGCAGATCTCAGCTGGCCACCACCTGCAAGAGAAGAGCGATATTGTGTCAAGAGAGAGAACATGCAGCGAAATAGACGCACAGCTCTTAGCTTTCAGTGGGAGATGAAGTAAAACTCCATATTCACATAATGCTCATTAGTTTTTCTTCGCATTTTATTGATGTGTTGTCAAATTAAAATGGTTTATTTATCCACCCCAATTTTGTCATGACATTGGTGGGAAAAATGTTTAGCTCAAGGGCCCTTAGTCATTAAGGGTGTCCTTTATTTGTACATACCTGTAGTTTCCCAGTTTGACCCAGACAATTTGTTTGTAGTGAGGTTTCTTGCCGGCCCTACAATCGCTGCAGGACCAAGGCCCCTCAGGCATCTCCATCTCCAAACACTCCGGGTGGAAGGAAGCCGGGCAGGAGTCGCAGCACAGCAACTTGCCTCCTACATTTGCATGTATGGATGGACACGGGTATGAATGTATGTGCGTGCGTGGGTATGCATGTGTTTTGATGTGGGGAAATGAGTAAGCAAAGAGAGGGGGAGGGCATAATTAGGCTTAAAGAATTTCAAAGCTGGACAAACTCTGAATCTCATTTGCAGACAAGCCTAAGAACACGTAAAAAGTCATCAAAAAGGTGACCGAAGCGTAAGGTTAGCAGGTACAGTGGAACCTCCAAAGTTGAACATGCACAAAGTGATCGAATGGAAAAAAATATGTCTGAAAAGTCAAACAAAAATTGGCAAAACGCTAAATGATTTTTTTTTTCCCTGATGTCACCACAGAAGAATACTAGTAATGGCACAGAGCAAAAGTGTGTGATAACCACAAAACCAAAAATGATGCTTGTAACAGGCCTGCTCAGTAAAATATTGTCGCCCCACTAAAATAATGGCCTAAATAAATTTGTCAGTTTTGTAGTTTTTCAGAAAACACACACAAAAAAAAAAAATTAACCCGATGCTGCATATATTTATGAACAATTTCATTTTGGCATAGAATCTGTTCAACTGAGGTAGTAGTACCAATTGTGTGCCTCTCTCTAGTGGTACACAAAAAAATACTACGCATGTACTGTTCAGTTGCATTTAACTTTTTAGTACAGTACATTTGCATTTTTATGTTTATGTTTGTGTTTATGTTTTGTTTTTAATTTTTTACTTCGGTGCAATCATTTCACTTTTAATGTTCTAATTTAATTATTATTCAAGTCAAGTTTTTACTCTCCTAGATTTAAGCAAAGTGTTCAAAACAGAACATAATGTTACACTGGCTTACAAGAACGTTTTAGAACATAAAACCTCTGGTTCGTTTTGGATGAACACTTGGACCTACTACACGACTGTATGCACTGTTGGTCAGGATGATGGTACTTGGTGAGGTACTTTTTAAGTATTATTATAGGTGGTACTTGGTGTCAGGAAACTTAGAACCAATGACTTTGGACATTTTTTTAAGGAAGGTGACAACTATGAATTAAATGCGCAAATGTTTTTTCTGACCAAGCTGATGCTAACAAATAGCATGCAGCTAATGGCTGGTATAAAAAAATAAAAAAAAAAAAAGTCCAGAGAAGCTTTCCACCAAGTGGCACATTTCTACTGTCCATTAAGCCTATGTCGGGCATTTCAAAGGATAAGTAGTTTACTTTCTTTTAGTTTTATTTCTTTTTATTACATCTCCTAGCCTATGGGGGAATTACAACAACGTCAACATCATTTATTAGCTGGTGTTCAACGTTGGAGGTTCCACTGTACACACAAATCAAACTCTACTTTTGTAACATCTGATCCATATTTTGAACAAGTGAAGGCTCCTGTTAGGACTTCTTCGTGACAACCATGTGTCATGAAGGAGGCTGATAATAGTAAAGCCACTCCTGCTTGAGTTCGTCAGCTTCATTACCGCTTTAAATACATCAGTTATCGCATGTCTGGCAATCAGATTCAGAGCACTGTACCAAGGGCTGGTCAATTGGATACACATGCAGCAGCAACACCGGACTCCAATCAGCCAGTGATCAGGGGTTTAAAATAAAAATCATTTAAAAAAAAAAAAAAAGCAGGCATGCAGTCCTGCCAATAAAGCAAACTGCTCCCCATCACACATACTGCACCTTGCATAGACCAGCTTGTATGGAATTTTCAGAACCAATTTTGTGTCAATCACGCCTAATTTAAATGTCACAATTTTTTACCCTAAACTTGTGCTGTACTCATTTCCTGATTGTGATTCAATTCCATCCAAGGCAGGTCAAAGGTGTAGAAATAGGAGTTGTACCCAAAATGTCAATTCATCTGACAATTTCAGTCCAAAAAAATAAAACTTGGGGTCGGGGTTGAAGCAGAGGGAAGCTGGACACGGCCTTTTGCATCAATAAAATAAGCCCACAGTGCTCAAGCAGAGAAGCAGTGCACCTCCACAAACCACAGACAGAGCATGAACCAACGCAGAGCATCCAGCATCATGGCGCTATACTGCTGTCAATGTTCTTCAACTGACCAGTCGCTAGTCGCACAATGGGACACATGCAAAAGCAAGAGTTCATTTGACGGTGCACTTGAGGACAACCTGTTGCATTCACCAAGAAATAAGAATTTATTCATCGGAATAAAAGTTCATCAATAAATGCATCAATCAACAGTGAGTCACTTTCTCACTCTTGGTTTCTTGTTTGAGCAGATTGAGAAAATTGTGCATCGTATTTCCTCTAATAATGGCCAAGGGCAAGATGTGCTAGCTTCAATAAAAAAAATTACAGTAAAACTAAGGCTAAATATTTTTTAGTCTTAGTTTACTAAGACAAAATAAAGACAATTACATTGTTGCATATTTAATTTATATTTAGAATTGTCTTGCGAACATCTGCTAGCTTGATGCTAACACAATGTGAGATACTATGGAAGGGTTAACGAACAGCAGCACCATATTAACCTTTAAATAACAAATATTCAAACGCAAATGGCGCAGCAACAGATAAAGAAAGATGAAATAACAATACTCGGTCATGTATACTTTCTATGATGTGAAAAGCCAGTTAGTTATAATACAGGAAATGTTTGTGTCTTTGAAGGCAATTGAAGGATGTACCGGAACACTTTTTCCTCTCACTGTAATGGCAGTATCGAGTACGGGTTCTCTGTATCGGCGAATACTCAAATGTAAGTACTGTACTTGTACTCGTACTCGGTCTGACAAAAGTGGTATCAGTGCAGCCATAGAGGCACTGCGTATTTTAGAGCGCGAATCACGATTTCAGGGAATACGGTAACTTTTTATTGATGAATCTTGATGAAAGACAAAAAGTATTTTTTTATCCTTTGGTGAATCCAACAGGCAGCTTTCAAACTGAATTAAACAACAGAATTACATTTGTTTTGCATGCGACCCAGAGTCATCTGTTAATTAAAAGGGATTCAGGCTGAGGTTATTTCGTCAAGGCACAAATTCTGCATGGCAATTAACTGCAGATTGAACCAGTCAATTAAGGCGGCACCTGAAGGCTTTGAAATGAAAGTGGCATTCAAAAAAATAAAATAAAATAAAAAAGGAGAAACTCATCAGGATGGGAGCAGGCACAATACAAACACAAACCAGCGGGGACAAAGGAGAGAGAGAAAAACTGTTCAGTTACCTTTCCCAACATTCTTTTTGGTAGCTGACGAAGGAGAGGGAATCATAGGTAATTTCAACTCAGCACGATTTGACTCAGTCAGAAGGTAGTGGGACTTATAGGCATATGAACTTAATATGGTGTCAGTAAGGTCTTGCACTAACAGCCCTACACAAGACACACAGGAAGAGACGGGGGTGAGCCGCAGTCAAACTAAAAATAAAAAAAAAATAAAAAAGTTTTGTTTTTCTAAATTACCCAAAAAAGAGAAAGAACAAACACTGTCTCTCTCACACACACTCACAACACAAGTAAGAAACATGTAAAACAGTTTGGCCCAACACAAAGTGGCCGGACAGGACGCTGGGACTTGTTTAAAAAAAGGAAAAGGGCCATCAACATTTTTCAACATCAACATCCGGGACATATAAGGTTCTTTTGGGTGTTGTGCAAAGTAACAAGCTTGGCTCTTTGTAATCGAAAACAAAATACATTTAGCAGCACCGCCAATAATGCAATACGGTGCCAAGGAGTAACACAAAATATCACAAAAGCCGGTTCCACCACGTAGTAGAGTTCAGGTCGATACACCGCATTAATCACTTCTTTGTCATTGTCCAAAGTTTGAAATGGCTTCAAAATGTCTCGGCAATATATCTGAAAGTGATTGAAGCTACACTGCAGCTTATGTACTGTATTGTGTTATTACTCCAGTGATATACTACATGGTTAAAAACACACACCAGATCATCATTTACTCTTCTAAAGCATACTAAAGTCTCCGGGAGAGCACAACTGAGCTGTACCACTTGGTGGAAACACGGCTGACCTATGTGAGGTTTACAAAGAGAAAAAAAACTTCCCCAAACAACCAAAAAAAAACAACCAAAAAAAAAAAAAACCCAAAAACAATCATGAAGGGCAATGAGTTTTTTTTTTTTTTAACATGCCAAAGTGGAAACTGTAATGCTGATTATTTTAAAATCAGCCAAACAAAAACTTCCTGTTCAGCATGGCCGCAGGAGTGTTTGTTTGTGAGAGTTAGTGTGTGTGCTAATTGCAAAAACAGCGAGGCGGGGCTTACCTCTGGCACACAGGAAGCACCAGCCCACGTTGACAGGCGAAGTTAGGAGGCCGTTCTTCTTGGTGCTGCCGTGGCTACTGCAGATCATGATATGATGAGTGAGGATGGCGCTGCCCGCCGCCACACAGCTGTCGCCTGTGTGATACGCCACTGGGCAGCGGATACAACGCATCAGGCGACCTAGACAGAGGACAATAAAGTACTGATATTATACAATAAGTTTCAATGATTACGATATTTCATATTTAGCGCATTTAAGTAAATATCGTGTCATTACTTTTGGTTGTAAGTTTTTTTTTTCGGTATAAAATCTAACAGGGCGGCCCGGTAGTCCAGTGGTTAGCGTGCCGACCTCACGGTGCAGAGATACCGGGTTCAATTCCAGCTGCGGCCTTCTTGTGTGGAGTTTGCATGTTCTCCCGGGGCCTGCGTGGGTTTTCTCCGGGTACTCCGGTTTCCTCCCACATTCCAAAAACATGCATGGCAGGCTGATTGAACACTCCAAATTGTCCCTAGGTGTGAGTGTGAGCGCGAAGGCTTGTTCGTCTGTGTGTGCCCTACAATTGGCTGGCAACCGGTTCAGGGTGTCCCCCGCCTACTGTCCGAAGACAGCTGGGATAGGCTCCGGCACCCCCCGCGATCCTTGTGAGGATAAGCGGATCGGGAAATAGATGGATAAAATATAACTGAATATTTAACATTTTCTGCACTTTATATCCTGCTCAAGCAATTCCTTATGGGAGGACTTTAAAACGAAACAAGATTCAATATTTAGTATTTTTAAAAGGCAAGAACATTATATATTTCATCATATTTATCTATGAGCATTATAATTCCTTGTTTGCACTTTTTACAGTAGATTCACTTTAGGATGCTCTGTAAGAATTATAAATAAGTATATTAAGACATGTAATCTCTCATATTTTAAGCACTCGCATAATCAGAGAAAAGTTACAAGTGGTTTCACCTTTGCTGGCTCGCTGCAGGTCTCGCTCCAGACAGCAGGTGGCGCAGCTGTGCTGAGGGCAGCTGAAGCCTCCGCCAGTGTTGTTGGTAGTACCTGGGAGTTTCCGTACACAATCCTCATGGTAGTAACATCCGCAGCCCGTCACGGAACAACGTGTCACCTCCTGGCTTGCTTTCTTACAGCTGAAACATTGGTGATTCCCTAGAAAAGGATAACAGAGAGACTAAGAATACATAACGCAAGGACGGAGTGGTCGGCCAAAGGTCAATGAAACACTTACCGTTTCTACATTCCAGGCACGTGAACCTTCCTTCAGGTAGGGACGTTAGACCGAGACACTCGAGGTGGAACTGCCTGTTGCAGTCACCTTCACACACCACCAAGTTCTCACCGTAGACCTCGCAAATCTACGAGTAAAAATATCACACAGGTCAGGAGAGATTTTTTTTGCAAGAGGGTAAAACCGCAAATGTGGATTAGTATTCACCTGGCAGACAGTGTCCCTCTTCCCCGTGCTACTGTCCTGACGAGACAATCCAGAGTCCACAGACTGAGTGTCTGAGGCATCTGCATCTGCAGCAGCTGGACTATCAAGACTCTTCCCAAATAAGCCCTTCGAGATGGATAAAGACTTAATGTCATGATGCGTTTGTAAAAACAGCATATGGGCAATCTGGCAAATACTACACAGACAAGATGAATATGATCAATATTGCAGGGCTCCAGACAGCCCCTAAATGGTGACACGAAAATTTGAGACAGCCAAGTCAATTTTTCTTCTTTTCGCGCATATGTGACCAGTAAATTAGCTGATTTTTTTCGTTTTTTTTTTTTTGAATTTTTGGGGGGGATGAACTCCTGCTCCGCACTTCAGACCATTTTAGAGTACAATTTGTAAAAATGAGTGAAATGTTTACAGAATTCAATTTACAGTGTGAAGACCTACATTTTCTACTCTCGCCCCTTAAATTTTTTTAGGAGCAACTGTGCTCCTAGTAAACAAAAAACAGTTTGTCGAGAGCCCTGTATTGCTAAACTTTTTCAAATACAAGGTGTCACAATACAGTGGTGCCTTGAGAGATATGTTTCATGTTTATATTTGTGTCTCAAATCATTCCCAATTGAAATAAATGGAAATTCCATTAATCCCTTTCAGCCTCCCTCCCCTCCAAAACTTTTTTAAAGAAAAATAGCACCTGATAAAATTACATTTACAACATAATTGAACAGAATTACAGATTTAAACAGTTAGTGCAGCGTTATTTATATTGGCCACTGGGGGGCAGTATAAAAAACAACAGTAGCGCAGACACACTTAGGCATGCATCAAGTAAGATGCTGTACAATTACCGGGTAGTAGGTTTCATACACGATAAAGAACATATGCCTGTGAGTATTACCATATTATTTTTCGGCACTCGTATCTCAAGGCATCAACTGTACTTCATTCATAAAACAAGAGCTACGTCAACTCTTGTGTGTGAGCCTGCCGATTTTCTCCAAGCCCACCTGAGGATCGTTGAGGCCTCTGGAATCTGAATCCGACGTGTCTCTATACTGAGAGGAAGCCATCTCCACGTCTGTCGAGGCTCGACTCCGCTTCTTTAGCGGTTTGCAGGCATCAGATATCTCACTGGCTCCTGAACAATGGCAAGAAGAGAAATCAGTCAAAGAAAGACTGTGTGTGAAACGGAGGCAAAGTGGAAGGGAGCGTGATCACTAACCTTTCTGGGAACCTGCCCTCGGTGTTGCCTCGGGCGCCATCTCTGCCTGAAATGATATTGTGAAATTAAATTTAGAGGGTCTGATGTTTTGAGATTAGCACATTAACTGTTTTTCAATTCATTGTCAAAAATGTCAATGTCTCAAAAACTAGAGCCAATTCAAATGAATGGATGTCATTTTCAGACTCAGCAGTCCAAAATTACCTGTAAACTGAATAAAACATCGTTGGCACTCGATATTTTTTTTCATTTTATTTGTTGGTTAGTGTTATAAATAAATCTGTTCAGATCAAATGAATGGATGTCATTTTCAGACTCAGCAGTCCAAAATTACCTGTAAACTAATAAAACATCGTTGGCACTCGAGATTTTTTTTCATTTTATTTGTTGGTCAGTGTTATAAATAAATCTGTTCAGACACTAGGACATTGATACCTTGTCACCAGCCTTATGGGTGGGTGGAGTAAAATGTCATGCTGTGTGGAGGTGCTTTCAAGTAAACCCAGATGGCAACACTAGCTGACCCAGAGCCATGCAGCGCGGAACAGAATTCTAGAAACTCTTGAGTTTTCCGAGCTTGACGCGACGCTGTTTGCCTTCGACCACAATAGCCGTGCTCCCGTGACGAAGCCATGTTGGAGGAAGCCCAGCCGACTGGGTAATAAAGTTACACACTTTGGTCACTCTGTTCACAATTTTATTTGGTAACTGAAACGCTTATGTTGCAGGCTACAGTTGAGTGACAGGTGTGGTAAAACTGCGCCGTGTTCAAGAAAGGCTTGCATTTGGTGTTCCTGAACAACATTTGATTCACATATCACACATTTTCATCACAAACGCAAACCATAACAGCATTGTTAATAATCTGTAGTTAATAGTTGCCGAGTACTTGAATTCTGGAACTGCGTCTTCAAAAAAACGTGTGATTGAAGTCTAATTCTGTCAATTGTGATAGAAAAACATTTAGGTCATCGTTGTTGCAAGTTAGTACAGCATTATTATTGTACCACTGCATACTGAATATTCATTACACTCTGCCTACTGGAACAATCAAACAGAATATGACAGATGAAAAGACTGGTCTATTTATAAATAATCGGATATTGACTAAGTCTGCGTCCTAGGCTTTTGTTTGCATTTTACAAAGTTTCACATACACATGAGAACGGTGTTAAAAAAGACTCAGCTCTCTGTTTCCATAGAAGACGATCCTTGAAGCTATACTCTAAGATTCTTTTTATAAATGTTTGCAGTCATGTAAATGATGAGTCAAAACCTATTCAATATAATCTATTGTCTTGATACCTGTTCCTTTTTGGTTTTCTTCTTCGGGACGGTGTCGTTGCCTCTCTCGGACTCCGATCTGCTTCTGACGGACCGCCGCTGCAGCTTCCTCTCCTGAGAACCTGAAGAACCATGAAAACATTGAGCTTCCTGGCTCCTTTGCGTCGCTCCAACTCACCCCGAAATCTTTCCGGTGCTCTACAAACCATGTGGACTGCTGTGATGAGAGCCAGGAGAGGAGGTGGGCTGCGTTCCGCCTTCTTCGCTTCTCCGACTTGCGGGAGATTCTCTCCTCTCCTCCCCTTCTTCCTCCATATCGTCCATATCTTCGTCCTCCTCGGGACTGGGCTCGGGTTTGGCTCTGTTTTCCTGCTGACAGCAACAAACTGTGTATTAACGCCCAGCAAAAAAAAAAAAAAAAAAAAAAAAAGCTTTCCTCCACCAAATTGCGGTTCATCGTTTGCACCGCTGCTATATTGTGGCTTTTTAAATGATTGTTTTACTTGGAGTTTTTTTTTTTAAAAAGGCAATTCCAAATTTAGAGTTGCGCGCCTTCATTGTTGTACCATGTTGGAAAGCCCTGAGGTTTACTGGAAGAGATGCAGCGTGATTAAGAGCAAGAAGACGAGGCAGAGAAGGTCTCCAACTACGGAGAGCTTCGGTCAGTCTTTGTTCCAGCCAAGTATTGCTGTGCTCAATTACTTTATAGAGTGGTGCATAGGTGGAAAACGCTATTAGTCTGTGAGAAAAATGGCATTCTAGACATTTATACTTTTAAAAAACATGTTGTCATGACAGACTCTACCTTATAAGACTACAGTATAGGCCAGGGGTCGGCAACCCCGGGCTCCAGAGCCGCATGCGGCCTAGTGGCGCCCTCCAGCTTTTTTTTTTTAAAAATGTTTGAAAATTGAAAAAGATGGGGGAGGGAAATATATACTTTGCTTCACCTACCTCAGGTGAACAGTAGCCCAGATCAGGCTGCCTGCCTTCTCCCTCCACTCTCTCCTCCTCCGCCTCCTCTTCTTCTTCCTCCTCCTCATCCTTCTCCACTTCTTTTTTAGGTGATGGAGCCATTTTTTTCTGCAGCAGAGGCCAATCACACTTTGTGATCTCCACATTCAACCTCTTCATGGTGATGGAGAGAGGCAGCAGCTTCCTTGCTGCTGCAGTTTTCCATGCCCTGACTGGTGGGGGGGAATCCTGCTTGGCTCCCCCATCAGAACCATTGTCCCGTTGAGGGGAGTCAGACTTACTCTGGTCACCCCTCAAGTTCTTCTTCTCATTCGAGCCATTATTGTCGTCTGCGTTCGAAATACTACACTGCCGACGCGGCAGCTGTCTCCTTGGCGGCTGCTCTCTCTCGGGTGACTTCACTCCTCCGTCGTCTTTCTTGGTGGTCGAACCGCTGGAGCGCCGGTTCCGCTTCTCAGGCCGGCCGACGGGTTTCTTGGCGATTGGGGTCTCGTTAGGGACCGGGTCGACGTAAATGAAAGTGTAATTGTCAATGCGCTCCTGACGTGTCATCAGGAAGGCATCCTCTGCGTGGCCTACGCCGACTTCCCACTGAGCGCGCTCCCTCTGAGGGATAGGCTTCAGAAGCTGGAAAAGAAAATGTGTTTATTTTAAAGATGACACTGGTTTGAAAATGCCACAAACGGGAATTTTTAACACCGATTTTGAGACCATGTTTCATGGATTCAATATCATAATATTTAGTGACATTGTGTAGTGTATTTTTATATCCATCCATACCGTACATAATGGATAGGAAACACTTAAAAGTGATTGCAACTCCGAGGTATCATACAAAATTGATGAACTTTTAAAAATACTGATTCAGGTATGACTGTTTAGCTTACTCAGCACAACTGGACAACAACGTCCATCCATCCATCCATTTTCTGACCCGCTTATCCTCACAAGGGTCGCGGGGGTTGCTGGAGCCTATCCCAGCTGTCTTTAGGCAGTAGGCGGGGGACACCCTGAACCGGTTGCCAGCCAATCGCAGGGCACACAGACATGAACATCCATTCATTCTCACACTCACACCTCGGGACAATTTGGAGTGTTCAATCAGCATGCATGTTTTTGGAATGTGGGAGGAAACCGGAGTACCCGGAGAAAACCCACGCAGGCCCGGGGAGAACATGCAAACTCCACACAGTGAGGCCGGAGCTGGGATTGAACCCGGTACCTCTGCACTGTGAGGTCGACGTGCTAACTGCTGGACCACCGGGCCGCCCACAATACTCTTGTATCATACAGAAATACATTATTGATGCATCTAATGTCGTCAGAGAGTGAAAATTTATCAGCTCTCTTTTTTCATACCATAATGTATAAAAAGCATGAATCCAATAAGTGATTATATTGAACTATTGTACAGATATTCAGTATGATGACTTCTATTTTTCAAATCCCACAAAACACACTTCCTAATTAAAAAAAAACAAAAAAAAAATACTAACAAATGTTATTATGCTGCTGACTTACTTTGTGTTTTTCCACAGTGTTTGTGGTCTTGCGCAGCGTGTCCGCCTGGAGCTCATCAAATTGTTGCTTGCCCTGGTATATAACGATTCTCTTCTCATGGATCCACGCTCGCTCTGCTACGCTGCCAAAAAACTGGACGTGGTACTCTCGGTGACCTGCGGCGCAAATTCGGTGTTGAGTGTTTATTCTCATTTTCATCCTTGAAAAGTTGTCTGAAAAGCGAGTACGTGCACTTACCTCTTGTATTGATGCGCGTGTGCACCTTCATCTGTGGGTCGGAAGAAACCATGCAAGGCCACCATGGGTAGGTGCCCACCTTGGACCACACTAGATCTCCAATGACAAACTCTTTGCAGAATCCTGTCTCTTGGATCACTGAGGGTTGATTGACTTTCGGAACCTGAGAACAAAATGTCTGTTTAAAATTCGAAGCACTTCGTGTTGAATTAACTGGAGATGAGAATTTGAGGTTCTTGCCTTTGGTTCAGTTTGGATAACGGTCTTCTGAGGCTTCTCCGTCTGGTCCGGCGGAGGCTCTCTCGGCGGCGGCTGGACGTGGGTGTCCTCCGTCTGGCCCGTGGTACCCGCCTGGCCTTGGACAGGCTCCAAATTCTGCTCCTGGATGTGGAGCTGCAGCTTTGCACTCTTTTTCCTCTTCTCCTTCTTCCTTTCGTGTCGTCGCTGCACCTGAGCCGCCTCTTTCTGCTGAGATTCCTTCTGAAGATGGAAAAGAAGACAGAGAGGAAAACAGTGGTGAGACATCCGTTAACGTCTGGGTTCCTTTGAAGCCAACGCAAACTTGGCTCTGTGTCTGCATATATCAAATCTTGCTCAGAGATGATTAGAGGCGAACAATTCAAATATTTTTTTTTGGAGGGGGGCGGGGGGTGATCTGCCATATGCCCTACAGTAACCAGTAACCTTGGTTAATAAATGTAATTTATTGACTCAATCGCACATTTTTCCTATTGAAACAAATAGAAATACAATAAAGCCACTCCAGCCACAGGACGAAGTTCAAATTCCCTTGTTTTTAAATTGGCATGTGGTTGTAAAACACTACAGTATAAAAATAACCGAAACATACTTTAGAATGAAGATATGTATACAATGTGTTCACTAACCATTCAACAATTTCGTACCCTCTTAGCCGTTTCAAAGAAAGTACTGTTTACCGTCACAATGGATACAGCAAGCCTAAAATGGCTGCCACATCCCTCAATGTAATGTGGCTTTCAAGTCATGTACAACCTTATTGTCAAATTTCACATTGCATTGTGGGATGCGGCGGCCATTTGAAGCGAGCTGTACATCTGGTGAACATAAACAAATCTGTTTAGTCCTCGACTGAAAGACTCATTAAAATCCAAGAAAGGGAAGGGGATTTACAAGGAAACACCATGAAACCTTGCTAACACGATCTACAGCAAGCTATCGTACCGGGGCTGAAGATGGAACCTGGCCGGGACCAAGGTTGTAACTGCCATCACTTGCTTTCTGCCTCGCTGTAGGCACCAGTTCTTATTATTTTATTTTGTTGTTGTTAACTTGTCTCTTTGTTTGTATGCACTTGTTAGGCGTTTTTAGTTTTCGAGAAAATTGGCACACTGCAATAGTACAGATAGCACATTTTGTCATACCAAACTGCGCAATGACATCATTAACACAAACGCCATTGTCATGTTTAACGATTACTGTCTATCCTCCTGTTTGTCAGCTACATTTTGTCTCCCAAAAAAAACACAATCGTGACCAGGTTAGGGCTAATTAACAGCAGGAAACCCCAAAGACACTGTAGTGTGTTTGCAATGTGTGTTGCATAGAGCCAATAATGGTTGGGCGCCGTGAGAAAAAGCACAACTAAGCCTCCCACGATATGTCCATGCCAAGACTGTTTGAAAACCGAAAACTGTGTGAACACAAGGTCATTTTTTTGGAAGATTTTTTTGGGGGGGCATAAATAGAAACTATTCGTCAATTCATAAATTGTGGTTCCACAACAAATACAGATGGGCAAGTCCTTGATCGGCTATGAGAAAAAAATTGTTATGAATTAATTTATTTTGATTTTTTTTTAAACGCTGTGAACGGGATGGGTGATGTTTTCAACTCTGCTATATTGAGAAGAATAATGCCATCAAAGTGGACGTCTGTGACTGTTGCTAAATTTCGCATTCCGCTGTCATGTTCTTCTTCAGACCACAAACTACGTGAAAGTGAATCAACGGCACCTCTGCTGGTGACAGATAATTGGTGCACTGTCTTTTACCTCAGTTGCTTTGAAGAATTTCTATGCAAAATACAAACGTTTAATCCATCCCCAATTGTGAGGTAATAGTCTCACACGTTTGAAAAAGTGTATAAAAATAAATAAATAAGTAAAAGGTGTTTTCATCGTAATACCTGCAGTTCCTGCAGCAAATCTCCGCACAGTGCTGTTTCAAACAACTCTTTGCCATTCTGATACGTCTTGATGATCTTCAGCTTGATCTCAGGGGAGCTGGTTTTCTTCAGCACTCCCGCGGAAGCACTGGGAGGGGGGTGAACGGGCTGCGAAGAGGGCGTACTGTCCACAAGGGAGGGGGGAGGGCTGGACGAGGGCAGGTGCAAGGGTGGAGGAGGAGGCAGCGTGTGGGTCATGATGTGAGGTGTGTGGGGAAGGTGGTGCTGGGTGGGCAGGGGCAGCGGCGGGGGGCTCTGCGGGTGGCTTTGGATGTGAGGCGTGTTTGACAGGAAGTGGTGCGCGTGGGGGAGGTGATGGTGATGATGGTGGTGGTGCAAGTGTGGGTGATGGGTGGGCAGTGGTGGCGAAACAGGGGAACGAGGTCTTTCCTGGAGACCGGGGCCCCTTAGCACCGTGCTCTCCCCCGGCATGAGGAGGCCATGCTCCGCGTAGCTGCGTATGGGCCCGTAACCATTAGCCGAACCGTTGGGGAACTGCGAGTACATTGAGAATTTGGACTGTGGTTCATATATGCCCAGACCCGGCGGGTAGCCGTTGGAGACGTGCGGCAGGTCCTCTGACGCTGAGTGCGGGTAGAAGTCCGCATCCAGGGCCGCATCATAGGAGGGACCGCCATCCTCGCCAGGGTCACTGCCAGTGTCGCAGGTGCCGTCCTGTCTGATGTTGGCTGAGTCAATAAGCTGAGGGGGTTGTTGAATTGTATTTCCCATGATCCCTTGCATGAAAGAGAAGGAGAAATCCATTGTTGGGCTCCGGCATCCTTAACTGTCTTTTTCTTTGACTGGACCTGTTGACAGACATGGAAATGATCAGTTTGTGCTAATGAAGGTCAACATAGGGTGGCTTTTAGATGTGCCCTTTGTTGAAAGTTGGCACTGAACTTCACATTAATCGTTTAATTGTAATGTAAATGTTGTTGAATACTGTTTGAGATGCAGATTGGTCAAGCACACTCATATTTATTCATAAATTTATTTGAAGCAGAGAACGCATATGCAGACAGCAGCGCTGCCGACAGGGTGAACATTTTTGGCGAGAGTTAGCATTTGATGAAGTCATAGTGGACCCTTACTTCGCCACAAGATTCAACTAGCAAAACAATTTCTAAAAGTTTTTTATAAATCAATTGATATTTCACTATGACAATGTGGACATGTTAAATTACAACGTCCAGCATAATATGATGAAACCTAAGTGAAGTGTAAATGTTTATTCTGCAACCATCCACTGTTTCATTCTCCATTAAAAAAGACAAAATGCTGTAATGTTCTTAAAAACATCTGCTTTAACATCACTATAAAAACCATGGACAGCAATTTCAGGGACACGTGAAAAGTGGTAAACATGATTATGAAAATAGAAAATACATGATCAAAATGACTTGGTTGATTAAATTGTGAAGAATAAAACCATGCGAAAAAATAATTTTACCATTTATTACACATGCTGTAGATGGGATATTCGGGACATGCCAAAATCACATACACACAAGGGGAAAAATTGATTAAAATGAAGGAGACATATTTTAAGAGACTTTCTGCACTTGTACGTGTGCAAAAAATTGGCCACTTCGAATAATTCGTCCGGGGAGGACACCAAAGGCACTTTACAGAAATACTGAGCTAAAAGTAAAATGCTGAAATGGTTAAACTGATGATGATTTTTATTGTTTTCTTTATTTCATATTTTTATCTTTCTCCACTGTATGTGTAAATGCTTGTTTTATACAGAGAGAGAGAGAGAGAGAGAGAGAGAGAGAGAGAGAGAGAGAGAGACAATGTTTTAGTAAAGTGTGCATCAAGATCCACAATAAAGTAGCACCCACCTGTACAGTTGAATAATTCACGTGCACTAGTGATGCACAGTTGCACCCTCTAAACACACCTAAACGTCATGCCCAATAGGTCTCTAAAAATACTTGAAATGAAAATGACAAACATACTCTCTATATCTTTCCACAACAGTTTAATGACTAGCAGCTAAAACATTACAGCCAGAAATGATGAACTACGATTATAAACATCTTCTGAATATGTCTCAATAAATTCGCCCCCACATCTTAAGAAAGTGCCACTTTCAGATAATGACACGGTAACATGTTAATTTTAACGGAACTCGTCATCAAAACAAACCCAATTAGCTTCTATTACTTGCTGTTGGGGGGTTCTGGTCACTTCTAGGCTTCCCATGGTGTGTTTAGGGGGCCAACACAAACACACGGCGGTCTGTTATCTCCGAACAAAACAAAGAGCAATGTCCGGTATCTTTTTCACACCAGTTTGTTGACACTTTTATTGCGTTTTAAGTGCCGAGAGGAGTGAGGAGGCTGACTGTGGTTGAACGTGTGAACGAAGGTGCATAATGGTGATGTAAACATCCGTGTGGTGCCGTGCAGCGGTCACAAAAACACGAAAAGCACGTAAAGGGGTCATTTTTAATTATATATACTGAGTAAATCAGCAAAGCTTGGTTACACGTGTGTGACTGAAATCGGGGGGGAAAACATCTGCGCAGACAATTGTCTCACTGGATGATCTTATAGCCTTGTGGGATGTTAGCTTCAAAGCTACATAGCTACAAAATGATCGTCTTGGGCTATTTTCTGAGCTTTGGGGCCATTTAAAATACACACACCAGACCGTGTTGACGCATTTAATGTATTAGCGCGCGCGTTTAATGCACGGAAAGCGCACGTTAGAGCACACGGCAATCTGAGTAAGATGAAAAGAGGGGAAGGCTAACTCTAGCTACGCTAACGGTACATTGCCAATATGGCTGCCTGTCTGGCGTGAATATTCCTCCATCACTGGCGCTTTGGGGAGAATGTGCTTGAAAAAGAAGCGAGCAGCCACTGCAAAAGGCTTGCACCGGCGACGGATGGACGAGAGCATGCATCGGTAGTGGCGCTAAAACAAAAACATGCACAAAAAGAAGAGGGGAGATGGCTTATGAGAAGCAGGATTTTTTTTTTTGACGGAGAGTCGCGAAATGCAGGCAAATAAAATGTCAGTACCTTCAGCGTGTCCCATTCTAAACACATACACCAGCCAGCAACGCGTCCTCGTTTTATTAAGAAGTAAGGAAAATAAAAATTAAAAAAAACAAATGTGTTCTGTTATATTGATAAAACGCAGGCCTATCCTTTTTCGTTTTAACGCAATTCTCAACAGAGAGGAGGAGGGGGATGTTACGCTATCTGCTCGCTACCCAATCCCAAAGCTGGGCTCTTCTTCAGCGGAGGAACTGGAGATTTTAATGACACCCTACTAAAAACAAGAGGCTTTTGATACGGTGCACTCTTCTGATTTCACCTTAAACTACACGAACGCGTTTCTATACGGTCAAAGCGTTAAATCTGCAAGGACCAGCAGCAAGCGGCACATCAGGACGTGTAGTTTACTTGTTAATTTAATCAATGTAGCTGCCACACTTCAAGTCATTGTCACGCCTACATTGAAGTGAAAGAGGAAATATGTTCGGTGCAAAAGAAGGAATAATACAAATGGCACATGCGTCACAGCAATGTTTCCCAATCTTTATCGAGCACATTTCACATTATTATAATGTCACTCAAAGTCGATAGGATATGGGTTAATTATGCCTTCTGTTCCATCCAAATTTTCTACTGCTCGTGTCGCAGGTGAGCAGTGGCGGTGTACACCCTGGACTGATCAACAGCCAATCGCAGGGGTCATACGGACTAACAACATAAACACAGAAGGGCAATTTAAAAGTCTAGAATCAATCAAACATAAATAATACCGCGTAAGTGAAAATTAGATGTTCTGGGCACATATGTTCCCTCCCGAGACACGAGGTTTGCATAGTCTCTTAGTTATAAAAAATATTACAAAGTGCGGATGAGTGGTTTGCACGTCTGCAACTCTGCATCACATTACCGAGGTTCGGCTTTTGAATCTTAACTCTGGTCTTCCTGTGTGGATTTTGCATGTTCTACCAGTGCGGGTGTAGCTTTTCTCCAGATAGGTATTCCTCGTGCCCTGCTTCTTCCCACACAAAAAAAATATGCACGCGAGGTTAATTTAAGACTTGAAATTGACCCTGCGTGTAAATATCAATTATTGTTTGTCTTTATGTGCCTTGCAATTGGATGCGACAAGTCCCTTGTTTCTGTCACACCAATCACAATACACACATGCAGGAACTGTTGTGACAGCTAAAGAGAAAACATTTAAATCTCGCTCCCTCCTCATGTAGCGGGGTCGGCGACGAACGTAAAAAGAGGCTAAAGGCAAGGTACAGTCGTAGAGTAAACTACCTTCTGAACTCTTATCACTTAATGATGTGAGGCAAATGAGCAATGTGTGTATTATCAGTTAGAGTCGGGGGGAAAATCCACGCATGCGCAGTAGGAGCTGTTTCAGCGCAGCAGCTTAGCATGCGTCTGCTGCTTCCGTGGAGGAGGAGATACGACGACTCCTAGAATCTGCTTCTGCCACCGCCAATGGATTTATCACCATCGGGTCCTCTGACATCGTCGTTCTTGTTTACAATGGCCGCTTGTTGAGGATGGATCGTATTTCTCAGGTCGCACCGATCAAGCCTTTAAACACATTGTCAGCAGCGACAGTTGGGTCATTGACGTTGGAGGTTAGTGGGCTCGCCATTTCACTCGCTAGCTAGCTACGGTGACAAGCTAACCGGCTAAGACTAGAAACTGATAGTTGCAAGTGTCAGATGGATATAACATGACTTCGAACTGTATGCGTTTAAAGTAGACTGAGTCCTCGAAGGCGTTTTTCCTTGTGGTTTACACTTCTACTCGATCTAGTCGAGACACCAGTTTAACGTCTGAAGTGACGTGAGTGGAAAATAACCAAAACATTGCGAGTGCTGTTTGTTGACCTGAGCGTGGAGTCCGTGGTACGTCGGGGCATCAAAGACTTACTTAATAAAGAGTGAACTAGTCTGAAATGATACGTGTATTTTAAACTAGTGGCTATACAATTGTTGTAACCTAAAATGCGCATTTTAAAGCTGATTCAAACTCATCCAAGCCCACTGTTTCTAATGTCATGCTTCTCACATTTGTCATAATGTCGAGTCGTGCTTGCCGACCAAGAAATTCCCTTGACAATCCGCCGTGTGCGAAATACACGTGCTTTACTAATAATTAAGGTCTTCGATAACAGGAAATTCTAATTGGATCTAAGCTTGCTCTCTCTCTCATGTTCCTGCCTCCAAAGTGATCTACCCATGCAATGGCAGTTTTCAGCCACCAGGTGCTTTTTGCTGTTACACGATCCAGGTAAGAGCTTTAATTTTGTTCGTTTAGAATAATCATTATAATCCCCAGATATATATCTACACCGTAGTGTGTTACAAGATAAAATCGTCACGCCATCATTTTTTTACATTATCTGTCACAGAATAATAATAAGAGGTTCACCACAAATAAATTGCGAAACCAAAAAAAAAAAAAAAAGTGCCATACTACCTCCACGTTGTTTACAAGGGAAGAAACGTCGGAGGAACACGCTTGTTGCAGCTCCTGTGCTAACAGTCGACATATTTCCCTCTTATCCGAAATCATTCACAGATTTGAATTGTAATTGTATTTCGCTGATTTTTATGTTCAATTCATTCGTTATGAGTTGCTGCATGTTATAGTTTCAAGTATTTCCGTCGTGATTATTAGTTTGAAATAAATATGTACCGGTACAAGTCAAAGGTGAAAATTTTCTGTCGAAAGCTGCCCACTCTCTGAAGTTAATCATTTAAGTACAAGAGATGCGTGTAGGAAGATGTTACGTAAGTGTTACAGCCTAATTACATAGAAGTAAAATGATTGTGTCTTCGATAACAGGAAATTCTAATTGGATCTAAGCTTGCTCTCTCTCTCATGTTCCTGCCTCCAAAGTGATCTACCCATGCAATGGCAGTTTTCAGCCACCAGGTGCTTTTTGCTGTTACACGATCCAGGTAAGAGCTTTAATTTTGTTCGTTTAGAATAATCATTATAATCCCCAGATATATATCTACACCGTAGTGTGTTACAAGATAAAATCGTCACGCCATCATTTTTTTACATTATCTGTCACAGAATAATAATAAGAGGTTCACCACAAATAAATTGCGAAACCAAAAAAAAAAAAACAAAGTGCCATACTACCTCCACGTTGTTTACAAGGGAAGAAACGTCGGAGGAACACGCTTGTTGCAGCTCCTGTGCTAACAGTCGACATATTTCCCTCTTATCCGAAATCATTCACAGATTTGAATTGTAATTGTATTTCGCTGATTTTTATGTTCAATTCATTCGTTATGAGTTGCTGCATGTTATAGTTTCAAGTATTTCCGTCGTGATTATTAGTTTGAAATAAATATGTACCGGTACAAGTCAAAGGTGAAAATTTTCTGTCGAAAGCTGCCCACTCTCTGAAGTTAATCATTTAAGTACAAGAGATGCGTGTAGGAAGATGTTACGTAAGTGTTACAGCCTAATTACATAGAAGTAAAATGATTGTCCCTATATCTCTATGTATCTATTTCTGAGATTATTATCTTTATATTTCTGTATATGAATATGTATGTGTATTTATGTTTTAATGTAGACAACACCATTATTTAACAGTTTCTATTAATTCAAGAATTTGGTCTGCAAATCCATCAATTTGCCAACAAGTAAATGCACTTCCCACTTTGTCGATCATGGGAGTGTGAAAAGTTTAAATCCAGCGATTGTTGAAGAACGTGGCAAAGCATTTGAATAATCTGCTGTCATTATGGAACATGAATTTTGAGCTGCTGCACCCTACAGGTTTTGGCATTTTTCCATGAACCCGTTAGTACTTGACACATAAGACAGAGTTGAAAAGTTCAGTACTCTGCTTGTGTACCAAGAAGTAATTTTCCAATGTCTTGTTTGTCTTTGTTTGAACTCCAAATGATAACAATTTTGAAGGTTCCACTGTTTGCATCGTACCTGCTCAGTTTTCTTGGTGTCCACACAGGGGATCGTATCTGATATCCCAGCGGCACAGTTGCTCCTCTTTGTCATCCAGAGCCTACCTCCACCTAGAACCTCCACGCAACATCTCCTCATCGACAAACCCACTGAGGCACTCCCGCTACGGCCACCCTCACTGTTACAGAGACCGCAATCTGGGCTGCAGCCAAAGCTCCGCCCTACTCGCCCGAGCTCTGCACAGTTCCGTCGTTTGGCGCCAGGACATTAAAAATGAGGAGACGAAAACCTCAGCCCCTACTCAGAATTTGGAGTTGGGCGAGAAGAAGGACCCTGCAGCTGTTGTAGCCCAACCACAAACGCCACCTCCACCACCTGTAGCGCCCGCTGCTGTCTCGCCTCTGCCCACGGCACAGGAAAAGTCCTTGGTGAAGAAGGCTCTGTATCTGAGGATTGTCGACGAGCTGAAACATTACTATAATGGCTTCCGATTGCTCGGTATTGACACCACGGTTGCAGGCAGGATGGTGTGGAGCCTGCTGCACGGACAGATCCTCACACGCAGGGAAAGGAGAAGGGTGAGAGAGGTTTTTGATTGATTTATCCAAATGTGAACACCTGCTCCACATCAAACAACAAAGCAGAAAATACACTGCCGGACATCATTGTCTAAAGTTGAATACTATTTCAGTACAGTTTATCTGAAATCACAATTTCTTGGGCGTAACGGAAAAAGCTCAGCAGGGTTCATCGCACTTCACAAAACTTGCCTACTATTGCATAGCAAGATGTGGGTGCTGCAAGAAAAAGTGCCATTGGTGTTTGTTGTGTGTGTTCACAGCTGATGAGAACATGCGCTGACCTCTTCCGTCTGGTACCCTTCATGGTGTTCATCATCGTCCCCTTCATGGAGTTCCTCCTTCCTGTCTTCCTCAAGCTCTTCCCAGACATGTTGCCCTCCACCTTCGAGACAGAGTCCAAAAAGGCATGTTGACATGTACACACACACACGCATACGGCCTCGGCAACCGTTTACTGCTGATTATGTAACGTAAGATACAGATAAGGTGCAAGTATGTCTGGCCTCAGAGCCAGCTGACTGCGTTTATTTTAGAAGCCATTGGCGCGTTGTTGTACACACATTTATTTTTAATCTCTTGTCCATAGCATCACCCCTATGATTATGACTGAGCGTGCCTCAGTGACTTAGCTATGCAGCTGTCCTGACCTCAGAGGACACGGCCTGCTATTTATTATGTCATAAGTGATCCTTTCAAAGTTTCAAAACAGAGATGCTGAGAGTAGTGTTTTAAAGTGGCCTTGACTTTTAGGATGATGGCGTAAACTGTGTCTGAATTACTGTTTCCTGATGTAATGGTTGGGGGCCTCTGTACAGGTGCATATAAATAAATGAGGTTTTAATTTAATTCTATAGTTCAAAAAGTGAATCTGTTAATAAACATGTTCAAATAGAATTTCGACAGGAAGCAAATTCCTCCCTAATGTGCACAATGTGCACGATGACGAATGTGCAGTGATCCAGGAAATCCTTGAATACTTTTGAGTCCAGTGGCGTAGATTACTTATCACCGGAATTTCTATTGAAGCTCCGCTATTAATATTCAGATGCCATATCTGCTCTACAGGTGGTGTGTTTTGGTAATGAACCATGATGGTGTCACATATCACCATAAGCGAACTGAAACTGCTATAAGATACCACCAAGCGTATCGAAGTGGATGATGCTCACTATGTTTAGTTAGTCAAAAACAAACTAAAATCTGCGAATATCTCCACCTTCTCCTCTCGTGCAGGAGGAGAAGCAGAAGAAGGGCCTGGCCGCGAAGCTGGAACTTGCCAAGTTCCTCCAAGAGACCATTGCTGAGATGGCTCGAAGGAACAAGGCCACGGCTCAGAGCGAAGATGAGACTCAACGCTTCTCCAGCTATGTTCAGCAGGTACATCGTCGAGAAAAGACTTGCCGTTATCATTTGTTAGTTCACTTCACTGTTCTCGCGTATGAGTTTCAAGTCACCTTCATTAGTTTGTATGTGAAGCCATATAGTGTTTGCATTGATTGTAACAGTACTTCCAAAACAATTGGAGCCAGAGTGCTGTTTAACATCCACTGACCAGTAAACACCCACCAGGTCGGAATCTGCTGGTCCATCTCATTTCACGTGAACATCCATGTGTCCCGTGTCAGGTCCGGGGCACCGGCGAGCAGCCCACCACCAAGGACATCGTCCGCTTTTCAAAGCTGTTTGAGGACGAGCTGACGCTGGAGCACCTGGAGCGCCCCCAGCTGGTGGCCCTGTGCAAACTGCTGGAGCTGCAGCCCATCGGCACCAACAACTTGTTGCGATTCCAGCTGATGTTGCAACTAAGGACCATCAAGTCAGACGACGAGGTGAGCGGATGAATGA